AGATGGGTGGGTTACAGTGATGGTAAATTCATCCTTGTTGGAGGATGCTGGTTTGCTCCCTACTCCCTACTATTGCTGGACCCATGCTGGACAATTTTTGTCAAGTCTCCCACCTCTTTCTAGGAAAGGTGGTTGAAAAAGTTGCAATTCCAGAGGACTCTGGAGAAAACAGAATATCTGGACCCTTTTCAGTCCGGTTTCAGGCCTATAGATAAGGGCCTGAAACTTCATTGGTCACACTCCTGGATGATCTGCAGCATGAATGGAATGAATGGGGCATCCATCCTTGCTCTTCTTTGACCTCTCAGCGGCTTTTGATACCATCAGCCATGATATCCTTTTGGGAGTTGGGCGTGGGCAGCACAATTTTGTGCTGGTTCAACTTCTTCTGAGGCTGGTCCCAATCAGTTTTAATGGGGAGTGAGAGGTCCAGCTCATGACCTCTCTTGGGTCCCACAGGGCTCAATGCTCTCTCCGCTCCTGTTTTAACTTCTACATGAAACCACTGGGTGAGTGGTTTCACACCAATACACTGATGGGACCCAGGTATTCAGTCACAGGTGAAGTGAATGATGCAGTGGATGTCCTATCACAGTGCCTGGAGGCTGCTGGGGTCTGAATCAGAAACAACAAACTTCAACAGGGCCCCTCTGTATCCAGTAGTTTATCATCTTTGGTTCTGGATGGGGTTGCAGTAAACCGAGACAGACCCAGTGTTAACTTGGGGATTCTCTTGGATTCATGGCTCCTGCTCAAAACAGCAAGTGGCAGCTATGGCTAGGAGAGCCTTTGCCTAATTGTACGTTGTGTACCAGTCATCCCCTTCCTGGATAAAGACTCTCCGTTATCACTCACGCTATGGTTATCTGCTGATTAGACTTATTGCAATGTGCTCTACATGGAGCTACTCTTGAAAATTATCTGGAAGCTTCAGCTGATACAGAATGGGGTTGCATGAGCCATTCTGGGTGCCCAAAGGAGGGCATATATAATACCTTTGCTCTGAGAACTGCACTAAGTGCCAGTTTGCTTCTCAAGTCCAATTCAAGGTATTGGTCATCACCTATATAGCCCTGCACAGCATAGGACCAGACAACCTATGGAATCAGCTTCATCCCATCACATCAGCCCTCCCACTCATTCTAGCAGGGAAGATATACTGCAGACCCGGTAATCAAAAGAACTTTGGCTGGCAGGGTCTAGGAAGAAGGGCTTCTTTGCTGCTGCTCCTGCAATGTGGAACACTGCATTCAGCCTCCAATCTCTTGGCCTTCTGCAAAGTGGTCAAAACTTGACTATACAGCCTTGTGTGGGGGACACAGAGTCCCTCACGAATGTGGGGCTGGCTGGCTCTGTGAACAACCCCTCCCCCCCCGCTTATATTAACATCGGTAACTCTCCCATCTTGGAATTTTTCACCTTTTGAATTTTTATTATATTTTTATAATTTTTAAACATTTAAATCTTAAATTAATTCTGATTTTAATATTAATTTTATACATTGTTATATATTGATTATATTGTACACTGCTCAGAGTTCCTCCGAGGAAGATGGGAGGTTAAGAAATAGGAAATATAAATAAATAAAAGTAATAAGTAAATAAAAGAAAAAGAGAGAAAGGGAAGGGAGGGAGGAAAGGAAGGCTTTTGATCTTTTTTACAGCAGTTATAAAGGTATTTAACATATATTTTATCCTATCTAAGATTACATTATGCCTCAGTTTTTTCCATTTTTAGCAAAAAGGTGAAAGGTTTCCAATAACAAATGTAGTTATTGACTTTTCCTAATCAAACAAGTCAATTTTGTCATCTTTTTTTTTTGTTCTGTTTGTGGTTGGATGTATTTGTGTAGCCATCCATTACTTACTTACATCTTTAGCACAAGAGAAGCAAGAACTCCGCAAAGCCAGAGCTGCAAATGCCTGGCATGGTGCCCACACGTCTGCCCGATATGTGGCAGAACATTCTGTGCCCGTATAGGCCTTACCAGCCACCTGCGGACACACCGTGGACAGCCCACAACCCGTTAGATGTCAAGGTCCTCTTCGAAAATGATGTATGAACATCATCACTTACATCTTAATATACTGTGACCATCTTAACACATGAATTTAGGTTTTGTCATAGAATATGTTGGTCTTCAAACTGCCATCAGCTTCTTTATTCAAATAAACCAACATAACTGGTCTTCCGGAATGTGTTGAAATGAGAAGATTCTAAATAGAAATTACCTCACCACATACCCTCAGGCATTATATACCAATTGTGCTTATTAAAAATCCAGCAGTAGCCATGCAAGCCACAAGAAGTAAATCTTAAATTTTACAAAATAATACAACTTTCAACTTCAAAAGTTTTTCAGCCAAGTTAGCTGGAGAAATAAAAGGATGGGCTACAATTACACAGTGCCAGATGTGTTTTTGGGGCGAGTGGTGGGTGACTCCAAACATGGAAACTTGTCAGCCCTTCAAGGTAGATCAGATTAGAAAAGCAGTGCATGCCAATATTACTTTTATTAAAAAGCTTAAGAGTAACATTGCACATGTGAATATGCTTCTCCCTTCTCTCCGTGTTCCATGAAAATTAAGCAAGGTTTTGTCTGGATGTTTACTTGGATTGCAGTTCTGCCTGACTTCTGGCTTCTTTTACAGGTAATTCTCTGGTAACCATGGTAATTGGGACCAAGATTGCTGTGGCTAAGCAATGTTGTGAAGTATGAAATCACATGACTGATTTGCTTAGTCCCTGGCTGTCCCAGTTGCTGTTGCAACTCCAAGACGTGGGTGGGTCATTTAGCAGGAAGCTGCAGGATTCCCACTGCAGGAATGCTGTGGGATGGACATGTGGAAGAGGGAGGCTGAGTGCAGGCCGTGCATGGATCAGAGGGCTGGCATAGGTCACACGAGTTGGAAGAGGCCTGTGAGTACCAGTAGAGACTGCCTCCAGACAAGAGACCACATGCTTGAAGGCAGGAGCAACTTACTGGAGTGACTTGCAACCTTCTGTGCTGGTTTTTCCATTGACTTTGCTTGTGGGAAGCTGGAAGGGAAGGTCACCAGTGGCAATTATAACTGTAGCACCCTGCACATAGTAATTGTAAGCCGGGCACCCGGGTCGCAGGGGGATGCTGTAATGGTTTGAACTTCCAGGAGTAGTCATATGTCCATGTTTTCAGAATTACCATAACTTTCAGTTGTTACCATGGACTTAAACCAAGAACTACCTGTATCTGACTGTGGTCTCAGTAGTCTCTCTTCCTTCTGTTCCAAAAAGGTTCTTCATTCTGCCCATTACATAACTAGGTCTTACCAAATTTAGAATATCAGACTGACTGAAACTGCCAGGAAGAAAATGTTTTTTTTCCCTTTTATAGGTAGTTCTCAACATGCAACCACTCTTAGTGAGCATTCAAAGTTACAATATTGAAAAAGTGACTTATGACTATTGCGGCATCCCCAGTCACATGATCAAAATTTGGACATTGGCAACCAGCATGTATTTACAATGTTTGCAGTCATGCGATCCCCATTTGTGATCTTCAAAGACAACTCCGGAGAAGCAAAATTAAGGGGGGTGGGGGGGGTGGGAAGCAGTGGTGGGTTCTTCCTGGTTCTGCCTGGTTCCACCGAGTCGGTAGCGGTGACGATATGATGTCACCAAACTGGTTCTGCCCCCCCCTGTTATTCTTACCTTTTATTTGGCCCCACCTCCAATCTGTTGCTGCCTCCTGAGTCCCAGCTGATGGGATATAAGGAAAAAAACTGTTTAAACTCTTGCCACAGGGCTTCAAAGGGCCGCCCTACAGCTGATCAGTGGTAAAAGGCAGTTTGGTGGTAGACCGGTGCCTCCAAAAACAAATGAGTAGACCAGTGCCTGCAAAAACAAATGGGTAGACCACTGCCTGCAAAAATACATGAGTAGACCAGTGCCTGCAAAAATAAATGGGTAGACCCGTACAGCTCTGCAAGCAGTTAAAAGCCAGGTAGACCAGTACCTCTGGTAAATCCTAAAGAATTGTCACATGACCATCAAGCCACGCCCACAAAATAAACCACACCCACAGAACCAGTAGTAAAAGCTTAATGCATTGTAAGCCGCCCTGAGTCTCCGGAGAAGGGTGGCATATAAATCGAATCAATCAATCAAATTTTTTAGAACCCACTCCTGGTGGGAAGGTAGAGTTACTTAACAACTGTATGAATCACTTAACAATTGCAGTGATTTGCATAAAAGCATGGCAAGAAACGTCCTAAAATTGGATGTGCCTTACATAAAAGCCAACTTGCTTAACAATGGAAATGTTGGTCTCAATTGTGGTTGTAAGACGAGACTACCTGTACTCATATTGGCAGTAGATGAATTCAGTCCGTTAATGATGAATATGTCCTCCTGGATGTTACTGTCCTAAACAAACGCCATAACGTATTATAATATAACCAATATGCAAAGTGCCATTAATAATCTCAGTATTTTATTACCATCTGAGATTATTGGATATTATATATAGTATTTTTCCTCTATAAAAAAAACATACCATCTCCAAAAAATTAGGAAGTAGCTGCGTTACTTAGACGCAATAGTTGTTCCTAAGCCTCTGTCTGCACCTGATCACATAGCACTTCATTTCAAAAGGCAGGGCTCTTCCCCGCAAATTGTGAAAAAAGCGGCTTTCAAGCATTCTCTAAGCCAGGCGTTTAAAACCAAGAATCCGCCTCTCTCGGCGTTCTTCCTCGCTAACTGCTCAAGAGGAGGAATGACAAACCTTGTGTAGTTGGCACCATACAGGAGCTACACAAACTAACAAAAGCATATTGCGCGAACCTCCCTCGCAGTTCACGACGACGCTTGAGGATATGCAAAACACAGTGACGTCAGCGCGTACAGGCGGGACGCCGGCTGAAGACTCCGACCGAGCCAGCCGCCGGCCTGGCGTAGCCGAGGAAGGGGGCGGGGCGGAAGGGGCGTCTCCTTGGCCATTACAGGTTGAGGGGTTTTGGCGCGCTCGGCGGAAAGCATTGTGGGTAGGGCAGCGCCGGTGGCTGCGAGGACGGTTGCTCTCATGTCGCAGGAAGGAGAGGAGGCTGCCGCTGTGCAGTGCCCTGTCCGGGCCGCCCTCGACCATTTGTGTCAGGAACTCAATCTGGACGTTGACAGCGCTTCGGAAGCCCTTCGGGATTTCACAGCCTTGAGGGGCACCTACAGCCTTGAGGTGGGAGGCGGCTTGTCTGTCAAGGAAGGGATGGGTGGCTGGCTGACTGACTGAATCCCTGCAGCTGGTTAAATGCTCAAGTGGCAATGCAGAGCCCGGTGGGGGGGACTTCCTTGTTCTTGGTGTGTATGTGTGTGTGTACACAATCCTAGATTGGGGAATCCTGGGCCTCGGCAATACTCGACTAGGGCATGTCCCGAACGGGGCTCCCAAGTGGCCCGTTCCCTAGGAGGCTTTTATTGCTGCCTTTTTAAGCACTGACCCAAGGACCTTCTTATGGGTGGACGTCGGAAAAGATGAATGCTCGCCCAAAGGTCCCTCGAACTAAGAACGATCATTGACGAGTCTTAAATCTTCTGAGATCCATAGAAGAACCATTTAACTCATTGCAATAAGTCACAGATAATAAGCCCGGAAAGGATTTTGATAGAAAGCGGAATACCAAGAAAAAAAGACATGCAGATGGCCTGAACTTCTTGTACTGTGTTATTTTAACTTGTTTATTTGAACAGTTCCTTGAAGATGTTATTAAAATATTGCCTCAGGAGGTGGAAATAGCCTTGCTTTTTCTGTACTACAGTTTTAGAAGTCTTAACGTACAAATACTGAATACTAACCACATTGAAAAAAAGTTATTCTTAAATAATAATAATTACTGTCCAGAAATAGAACGATTATCCCTTGATATAATCAAGCATAAAAATAGTGAATTATAACTTAGGCTAATACGTTATGTGACCCTCAAACTGTAAGGTTTATGATTCAGTATTGTATGAACCTAGAAAACTAAGTTATTGAGCAAAAATAATATTTACACTATTCTAGATTATGGCATTCCAAACAAGGTATTTCCACAACAAAGCAAATGCATATTATTTCCATACATATTATACATATTTCATTTTCTCCAGTTTTATTTCATATTATGTTTTAATGAGATGTATGAGCTGGCAGAGTATAAAACATTTCTTTTACATATCATGTGAGATGTTAAAAAGCTGGCATAACTTTTAGTTTGTTTTGGTATTTTTGGGGTTTGCATTAAATACTGAAAATACACTTTAATAAAGTTTATTGGAATAAAAGATACTGTAATCTTCAATATGATCCTCTGAGCTTTCATTCTGCAGTCTTTTAATATTTTTATTTTCCTACTGTTTCAGTGAGCTATCTTAAAATACCTGCTAAATTTCTATTCACATACATGGTAGTTGGCTAGCTGGTGAAATAAATGAATTCAAAATCCACAAAAGGATTTCAGAGAAGCCTTGGGACAAAACAGAAAATATAGTCAAGATATATAAAGATCACTGGTGTTCAATGGGAGCATAATTTAAGATACAGTATAATGAATTATAGATAAGCCTTCATAACCATAGAAATGAAAACAAGTACAGGTAGTTCTCAATTTACAGCAGTTCATTTAGTGACTGTTCAAAATTACAATAGCACTGAAAACTAACTAATTACCGTTTTTAATACTTATGACTTGTAGCATTCCCATAGTCACATAATCAAAATTCAGACATCAATCGCACTTAGACTTTTATACCCTTTCATAGAGCTTTATGGCCTCTAAGTGGTCTGCAGAGTCAGCATATTGCCCTCAACAATCTGGGTCCTCATTTTACCAACCTTGAAAGTATGGAAGGGTGAGTTAACTTTGAGTTAGTCGGGATCGAACAGGGGGCAGTCGGCAGAATTAGACTGCAATATTGCATTCTAACCATTGTGCCACCATGGCTCTTCTTAACTGACTCATATTTATGATGGTTGCAGTGTCTTGGGGTCACATGACCACCTTTTGCAACTTGACAAGCAAAATCAATGTTGAAGCCAGATTCACTTAACAATTGTGTTACTAATTTAACCACTGCAGTGATTCACTTAACTATGGCAAGAAAGATTGTAAAATGGGGCAAAACCTACTTAACAAATAAGTTAAGTTCTGTTGCTTACTTAGCAACAGAAATTTTGGGCACAACTATGGTCATAAATCAAGGATTATCTGTATAAGACAAATGTCCGCTAATAGAATAGATAGATAGCATGAGCTGCTGGAATGTTGGCCTCTGGACAGAATTTCAGTTGTTTAACTGGATAAATGGCCTTTGGGAATAGGATAGGGTTAAATATTGAATGATAGATTTTTTTTTATTAAAATTAAGTCTTTGGAAACCTCCCTCCTCCCATTTCCAGCTAAAGCTGCAGGTCATAAATGCATGTAGGCTGCTATGTGGTTGAATTTTGATCATATGAAGCTGAGGGCGTTGCAGCAGCTGTAACTTCAGGTACATATTGCAAGTCCATTTTTCCAGCACCATCATAAATTTGAAGGGCCGCTGTACAAATGGTTGTAAATTGAGGACTACTAGTAATTATTAGATTCTTTGGTTTAAAAGAACTCTTTCATGTGACTGTCATATCTATGCAAGGCAGAGAATTGTGACACATTCAGAATTCAATTGGGAAAAAAATGAAATAATTGTTTTTTTTGTGTGAAGTGCTGTATACCATTCTTTGTAAACTAGCAATCTTGTATCAGAATGTAGTTAGTATATTTTAATCCTTTCAAAGAACACGTCTCCTAGTGGTTTTGTCCAAAGAGAGTTTAAAGATAAAAAATTAAATTAAAATTTACTTTATTTCATCTAATAATCAGAATAGAAAGCTGCTTAAACAGTAAAATGAATAAACATAAAAAGCATAAAACTATGAATGAAAATAAAATTATATTTAGCCACAATCTCTTATAACAGTCAGGAGTCATTTAAAATCTCAACAATAAAAATATTCTAGTAAAGTGAAATAGCTTGGGTTAAAGAAGTATTTATTAAACTTTATATTTAATGTTGTAAATTAAATACATTATAAAACTTTCCTTTTTATCTACCAAATCAGAATTGTTCTTATTAATTTATAAAGCTTCTTGCTTTATAAAAGTGAGTATTTATTTACACTATAATCAGCATTATTAATCCTAAAAACTGTAAATTTATTTTTGCAGGGAGACATTATACATTGGCTGGCTTGTGCTCTGTATGTTGCGTGCCGTAGAAGTGTAGTGCCTACTGTAGGAAGTAGTTTGATGAAAGGAAATTGTGTCTCATTGACCAGAATTCTGCGTTCAGCGAAGTTAAGGTATTTTTGTTTTAAATAATATTCCCTGTGCCATTCTGGTTTAAAATTGCAATATAAATATTAATTTTAGTTCAAAGCTTGCCTAAATGAATGCCTACTTTTATTGTCTACTGATACAGCTGAGATGACTAACATTCCATGTGGGAATTGCAATGAACTTGGTATTTGCACTTTGGTTAATGTTATCATAACAATGATTATGTTACTATTATTACCTAAACCAAGCATTATTATCACAATTTTTGTTGTGATATTAATATGGTTATGTAAACAGTGTTAATGTATTTACTGTTTCTTTTTAAGGATCATAGACAGCAATATAGTAATTATATTAACTGACTGAACAGATCAGTCTAAGACAGTGTTTCCCAAACTTTTGACATATGTGTACCCCTTCTATAATTTTCGTAACGCTGAGTACCCCTCATAAAAATAATAATAATCAATAATTATAATAAATAATCAAAATCAGTGGAACTTACTAAAGCACGATAACAGGCGCCCGGAACTAACTATTAAAGAAGTAAGTTGTCTCTGTAACGAAGTGCAGTATATTCATGCCGTGTCACGCCTCACAAGACTGTCTAACCGTTAGATAACACTGCAATTCTCCAGCGTTTAAACAGCTCCGCGGCTCAACGTCAACTGTTAATGTTCCCGCAGTTTAAAAATGGCCGAACCCGAGCTGCGCGAAGGATGCGCAGAAGTTCCCGCCATAATGAGTTGTGATACGATGTACGATGGCCCCAGTTCCCATGTAAAAACTGCGATACACGCCTATTTCTTTCCTTGTTCTGTGGGTGCAGCTAAGCACAGTGCAGTGGATATTCCCACGTGATCCCCACCAAACTCCGGTGCAACGCGTACCCCCACCAAACTCTTCCCGTACCCCTGGGGGTACGCGTACCACACTTTGGGAAACACTGGTCTAAGACATGGTGTGTTCTAAAGAATAAGGAACAATGACTGTCTTTACAGAAAAATGTCTTTATGGTAATTTATAAGTCACAATAATTAAGCTAATACAATATACTAAGCCAAAAGCAAATAAAATTATGACTTAAGGTCATCGTTAAGAGTAGCACAGAGACTTGACCTTGTTTTTTTTATTAAGCATTCCAAAGAAAGAATAACATTAATATATTGGAAGCAAGACTTTATGATAGTAGATGGTTTGGTCAGGTAATTAAATATTAAGCTATAATGTGATTTTTGTTTGATTTAGTGTATAGTCTGAATCCAGCCATTGTTAGTGTATTCAATAAACCATTGTTCAACAAATCAGTGTAATCAAGTATACTGAGTAATGCTAATCACCATTTTTCACACTAGCCTATTTTACAGGATTATAATTAGCTGTTTCAGTCATGTTTACCTAATGGCTATGATATTAATATAGTGCCTTCATATTATTTCACATAGCAGTTTTAGTGAAGTCTCTTTGCATTTTCAGCTGTGTCCCTTAACATATTAAGTGATACACATGTATTAATGAATTCTGAATGAAATTGTTATAAAATAGACTGAGAATGTCTACAGAAATTAAATGTATAATTTGATTTTGTTTTCTTTTAAGCTTAATTCAGTTTTTTAGTAAAATGAAAAAATGGATGGACATGTCAAACCTGTGTCAAGAATTTCGAGAGAGAGTAGAGAAATTGGAGAGAAATTTTGAAGTGTCCACAGTAATATTCAAAAAATATACCCCAATCTTTTTAGATATATTTAAAAATCCTTATGAAGAACAACCCAAATTTCAAAGAAGCAGGAAACAAAGGTAAGATGTTCAAAGGTTTTGTGGTATTTTGGATTTCATGTTGCTAAAAAAAGTAAAGTGAGCAATAGAAATATATAATATTATAAAATTCCTTGGTATATTTCTTGGCAGACTCCAGGCACATTTTTCTCAATAATGTAGTTGAGAAAGTAAAAGGCTTGTGTAATATAGTGTGAACCTTTTAATGGAATATTGTGTATATAAAAACATGGATACAATAGGATTGGTATGGTAGCAGATGTGTGAACATTCCGAAATGGTGTGTTAAATTGCTATAATCATTTATGACCCTTTTTAAATTTAACAGAATCTAAGTCTTCTGTGTGATTTTCAGTAATTCTAAAGTAATAATTTAGAACTAAAATGAGACTTCTCTTCCAATAGACGGGTACCCTGTAGTGCTAAAGATCTATTCAACTTCGGCTGGACTCTTTTTGTCTACACAAAGGGTAATTTATAATGGCTTAACTTTATTGCCTGTTTTTTATTAAATATTTTAGCTATATTGTTAAAACGACTTGATGTATTCTGTTTTAAAGGTAATTTCAGTATGATTGGAGATGATCTAGTGAACTCATATCATTTACTTTTATGCTGCTTGGATATGATTTTTGCAAATGCACTTTTGTGTCCATATAAAAAAGATTTAATAAATCCATCGTTCAAAGGTACGTTCCTTATTATCTTCTCCCAACTGCAATGCAGTTTTAATTTGTTTTTAAAATGAATACATACTAAATTTATGGAACTTTTCTTTTCTACTTTTTAAAGGTTTGCCAGAAGACTTTCATACAACTGACTCCAGAACTTCTGAAAGGCCACCATGCATTATTTCTACACTGTGTGAATTACATGATGGACTTTTGGTAGATGCCAAAGGCATAAAAGAACATTATTTTAAGCCATACATTTCAAAGCTCTATGATAGGAAGGTATACAATCAAAAATAATTAATCATGTAATTGTGTTTAAAATTTTCATTGCTAGGAGAAACATTTTTTTTCTGAAATGTTCATTTTAAATGAATATTTGAAATGTACTGTCAAAGATTTAGCTATGAAACCACAATCTTTTAACTCTTGTATGCTTTAGCACTGTATTTACCTTCTCCCCCCCGCAAATTTTTTTTGCTGCCTTTGATCAGAAGTTAGAAACACTCTGCCTATTGTACTTAGTGCTATCAAGCAGTTTAATTCTTACAAACAACCTTTCTACTACCATTGTTACACAGTCTTAGTGTATTACAATATGGCATCTTCACCAATATATGTTCCAGAAGTATGGACTCCTGGAACTCCCAGCATTCTCCATGAGCATTGCCGTGGTTGAGAATTCTGGGAGTTCAAGGACAATAAAGGTGAACAGTGCTTAGGTTGGAGCCTGCAATATAAATAGTTAAAATTAAAGAAATGTTAGTTCTGGTAGTTGATTATGATTTCTCTATTGAAGGCATCTACAAAGAAAGCATCTGTTTCTAAAGTTATCAGTGGTGGTTCTGTTTAGTAACAGTACAGGTACAGGTAGTCATTGACATACGACAGTTCATTTAGTGAGGTTGCAACTGCACTGAAAAAAGTGACTTATGACCATTTTTCACACTTATGACCATTGCAGCATCCCCATGGTGACATGATCAAAATTCAGATGGTTGGTAATTGACTCACATTTATGACAGTTGCAGTGGCCTGGAGTCATGTGATCAACTTTTGCAAGCTTCTGACAAGCAAAGTCAATGGGAAGCTAGATTCACTTAACAACCATGTTACTAACTTAACAACTGTGGTGATTCACTTAACAACTATGGCAAGAAAAAGTCATAAAATGGGGTAAACTCACTTAACAAATGCTTTGCTTAGCAACAGAAATTTTAGGATCAATTATGGTCATAAATCAAGGATTACCTGTATTGCAATCCAACGCTGACATCCAGAGAGGTGGGCTTCTTTTTATTTTACTATCTTAGTCAGTTTTTGAATAGTAGCAGGTCTCTAGGAGCACACTTACCTTCACAATAAAGTATTAATTCCGAGATAATAAACCAGAAGCTTATGAGCTTTGCATGAGTGGATAAAGAAATTAGGAAACTAGAATTGAATATTGCTTTCTTTTATTAAACTTTTTTAAAATTACCGAAACTAAAACAAACTACTTAGGCTATCAGAAAATAGTCTGATACCTTGTTTTTATCTGTTTTATCTGTTTCTGCTTTTCTAATGATTTTAGATTTTAAAAGGAGATTGTCTTTTGGATCCAAGCAACTTTGTAAATAACAAGTAAGTGTTTTGTTTAATCACACTGTTTAAAGTATATATTAAAGTATTATAAAAGTGAAGAGCCACTTCTGTGGCTTTCTGTGTGATTTTAGCATGCAAATTAGATTGATTTTGAATGACAAGTATGGTAGCTGTTGGAATAATTGCTCACTGGATTTTTAAAACTAATGTTTTTACTGTTCTCTCTGGGATAAATGGTGAATTGCTGTTGGGGAGTATTTATGAATGTTAGGTGAAATCATAATTTCCCTAACAGGCTTCGGATACGATTTAGGGAATTTATTTATGTTAAATTTCTACTCCTAGAAATAAAAAACTTTGAAACAATCTCATTTAATCAGAGCATTTCCAGCATCATGAAAGAAGATTGGAATTTTAAAGGTCTTTATATAATACAATTGCGGGTGCTTCATTTCCCCTGGTATCACATCAGTGTATTCTTTTTTTAAATCAGGAAGATAGGGAAAATATAATTGAGTATATATTAATGAGGAATAATAAATCAACTTTCATATTGCTTGTGTTTTCAGCAAAGCCCTGAATAAAGAGTATGAAGAATATGTTCTCACAAAAGGTGATTTTGATGAAAGGGTTTTCTTGGGAGCAGATGCAGAAGAAGAAATTGGAACACCTCAAAAATGTTGTGCAGCTACACCATGCGGGAATATAAGAGCTCATGTTGAATGTCATCTTCAACAACATTTTGAGGTAATTTAAGTTTTGTGTTAAACAAATGCATTTGTTATAATATTAAAGAATAACCAGATGGAATATTTTTAGCCTTGTCATTAATCAACTCTGACATCTAAGCAGTTATAAAAATTTTGAAAAAAGGAATTATTTCTGTGGTACTCTCAGATCAACCGCTGGAATGGTTCATCTGTTTTTAGTGCAATGAATATTGCCAAATATGTGGAAAGTATGTTGAACTTACTGCAAAAATATTATGTAACTGATTTTTAGAAGTCAGGAATTGTATTGGAAGAGGATATGTAGGAGGTATATAGACTAAAAATGATTAAGGTTTATTTCCACCATGATGGATAGAGGCTTGCCATATTAGCTGAAACTAATAATTTTACAGGTCATATGTAATTCATTGTGCCTATTATTTAGAGATTTGGAGATGGGAGAGGTTGTGTGAGGAACACAATATTATTCTCTACCCATTTCAGAATATCTGAAAGTCAATAATTTTTGGCACAAAAGACCCGCCATGGGAAAGTCTGAGAATGAATCTGTTGTAATACTGTAATATTGTGTCTCTGCACAATATCAATTATTTCTGAATTTCTGTTTGTAATTGTTGAAATTTATATAGTGGTGTTGGTCTACCCAGCTGGCCAATACAATTTAAACCAATTTAATTTGACTTTCAGAAAAGATCCTTTGCACCATCAACCCCTTTAACTGGCAGGAGTTACTTGAAAGAGAAGGAATCAGTAATTACACCAGTTGCTTCTGCAACACAGAGTGTGAGTCGGTTACAAAGTATTGTAGCAGGGTTGAAAAATGCACCAAGTGAACAGCTTGTAGCTATTTTTGAGTAAGTTGTATTGCATTTGCTTTATGTTGCTTATATCTCTAACTTCTGTCTTTCATTTTTCTGATGATATCTTAGCACATTTGATATTTTATTTGATAACAAATAACAATACTATGTTTCCTAAATTGTAACCTCAAATGTTACAGGGCAAATTAAGCATCTACTTGTTAAAATGATCATGGGAGACTTGTTTGTAAAGTTTATTATTTTAAAAAATATTAAGTCACCTGTAATTAGTTTGAAATGCATATTAATGTTTTGTTTTAAACAAGATGCTATTTGCTAATCACATTTAAAGTATGTATTTTTATATTCCCCTATAGATCATGTATACGGAATCCTATGGAGAATATCCTGAAAGGAGTGAAAAGGATAGGTGATATTTTCCGTCAGAATTATACTCTGTCGGTCAATGATCAACTGGTGTGCCATTTAGGTAATACAAAAAAAATTATATATTGCAAAGCCAAATCTATTAAAAGAATATTTCTCTCTTTGGTCTCAGAGATACACATTGTGTTAATTAACAGATAATTAACTACATAGAACGTAAGAAATTACGTATTGTTGGTCCCTTTTTTGATGAAAGGAACACATACTACCATAAAAATATAAACTTTATTTCACAGATGACTCTGATTGTTCTCTATATGATAACTTTGAAGGCATAAAGTATTTCAAAAGAAGACTTAAATCATTCTGCTCAAGAACTTTTATATTTCTCTGAAGAGTCTGGAAATGAAATGGTTCCACTAAAATTTCTTATTCTCATGGAAATCCTTGTCTAGAATTTTATCTAGAAAATTTGTTACTTTTTGCTAATTTTATAGAAATAAACTACAAAATAATGATTAATTTTCTAGAATACAAACAGGATTAAAGGCAGTTCTAGAATTTGGTGACCTCTAAATCTAATAAATAACATTAATTATTTAATATTAAAGCATCCTGTCATGATTGAAAGCATCCTGTCGCATTGTATTGTGCGGTTTGGAAGTATTACTATTTCGGACAGGAAAGTGATGCAGAGTGGTGAGGATGGCAGAAAAAAATATTGGAAGTTCATTTCTTTCTATCTATCCAGGATATAACATATAAGTGATGCTTGATCAGGGTCTGCAGTATTGTCAGGGACGCTACATACACTCTCCATGACCAGTTTTCTTTGTTACCTTCTGGTAGGAGGCTTCACAGTTTTTGAAGCAGAACAATTAGATTCTGTAATAGCTTTGTACCATATAGTATCAACCTTGTTAACTCTCAAGACTCCTTTCCACCATGTATATAATATGGATTGTGATTAATATTGTATGTATATGTGTCTGTCTGTCTGCCTATCTATCTATCATGTATATGTATATATGTATATGTATGTGCATGTATGAGTATTATATAAGTAATAACAAATTAGTTACATAATAAGTAATAACAAATCTGGCATATATTTATCCATGACTTTGATACTGGGTTTTTCTAACTATTATTAAATACCTTCTGCATTTAAAGGACTATATTCATTTACTCATATATAAATGCTATTAGTAGTGGAATTTGTTGTTTGATAATTCTGCATACAATTTACTCTTTAAGATCTGACGCCTTTAATACTTTCTTGATCAATATAGTCACATACTGTTTTATAGAAAAATTGCAGTTAAACTGGACAAGCTTTTAAGTATTAACATTTTTATTTATTTATGTATTTATTATTAATAATTAAACATCAGTATTTAACTTAATTTTCAGATTTTGCACTTCACCGATTAAAATTGGCAGAAATTTTGTATTATAAAAGTTTGGAAACTATAATGATACAAGAAAAGCGAAGGCTGCCTGGTAAAGACATGTCTGTAAGTTCAGAACTATGAAAAAAATACAATAGAATACTTTTTTTAAAAAAAAAATGGTTTCATAATTCACTTGTTATTTGCTGTAATTGTTTTCTCATTCTGAAAACAGAATTTGGCTTAAATTTATACATGATTCTTTGATGGAGCACATATTGAGAAAAGCTCATAAATAAGTTTTAGCATTTCTGGTTAAAAGGTTTTGGAAGAACTGGAAAGAACTGGGCCTGGTGGCTCAGCAGACTAAAAGCATTGTGATTAACACCAGCTGTCTGCAATTACTGTAAGTTCGAATCTCACCAGGCTCAAGGTTGACTCAGCCTTCCATCCTTTCTAAGGTAGGTAAATTGAGGACCCAGTTTGTGGGGGCAATAAGCTGACTTTGTATAAATATACAAAAGTATGAAGGCTATTGCTTAACGCATTGTAAGCCACCCTGAGTCTCTGGAGAAGGGCGGCATATAAATCAATTTTTTTAAAAAAAATGCTAACCTTGTCAATTTTTTGAGACACAACAATTCTGTAGTTGAACCAAAGATCAATATAAATTAGCTTGAGCACATCAGTCTTTGTTTATATTACTTTTCCTCCAGTTAATTTTTCCCTTTAGATCAGCGGTCCCCAATCTTTCCAGCTTGTAGGCACGGCACGGGGGGGATGGAGTTATTGTGAGTGGGTGAGCACATGCACACAGCTCCATTGTTGCAAGTGGTGAGCATGGATCCTCTACTTTTACAACTGGAGTTTCGCTTACAAGCGGTGGGTCCTTCCGTTGTGCACAAAGCTTCACTTGCATGAGCAGAGGGCACGTGCACTCACATGCCAAGCTCCACTCACGCAAACAGAGTGGAGGGCATTTGTGCTTGTGTGCAAAATGGAGCTTTGCACATGCATGCTTGCCTGCCACTCACACAAGTGGAGCTTCGTGCACGCACGCTTCCCTATCACTTGTGCAACATGGTTTTGAACAGGCTGGGGACTGGTAGTGGGATGTGGCCTGGGGGATTGGGGACTCCTGCTTTGGATGATAGTATGTTTTAGGATGAAATATTAATTTAAATAGGTTCCACTTCTAAAAAAATTCTAGGAAGGAAGTACTCTGGACAAAGTTAATCTGTAGTAAGGAGGCTTCATTTTGTATATGTACAAGAAGCCCACAATGCATGATATAGATAGTCCTTGGCTTATGATCATTCATTTAGTGACCATTTGATGTTACTACAGCAGTGAAAAAAAATATTTTTGACCGTTTTTCACACGACTGTTGCAGCATCGCCATATATCATGCGATCAAAATTCGAGTGTTTGATAACTTGACATATATTTATGACAGTTGCACTGCCCATGTGTCATGTGATCACCATTTGTAACCAAATTACAAATTTGTAATTTGTAACTGGCAAGCAGAGTCAACAGGGGAAGCCAGATTCACTCAACAACTGCATGATCTATTTAACAAATCCAGTGATTCACTTAACTATGGCAAAAAAGATCATAAAATGGGGCACAACTCATTTAACAATGGAAATTTTGGGCTTAATTGTCATAAGTTGAGGACTACTTGTACCTCATTGTATATGAAGGCTCCATGGTCTATCAAAAATGTTTAGTCTCATTTTGGCACTTTTCTCACATCTTCTGGTATTTTTCACAGATTATTATTGTTGCTTCATTCAATTCACATGTGAATTATCTTATTTTGTAAACTATATTTTATTGTGAAAAATGTTCTTCAAAGCTATGATTCTCCAGATGCTACTTGAACTCAAATATTCCTGAACAAATCTTTTTGGATGGGTTTCTCAAAGAAATTTCACAAAGAAATGTGCAATTCAAAGTTCATAATAATTGAGTACTATCATACCACTGAGTTTAAAAATATATCTATATTAAAGGGATTTTTTAATTCAGTGACCCACCTGTGTTCTTATACAAGGATAATGAACTAATGGGTGCAAAAGATGAATTATGTTCTGTACGAATGATTTGGTTGTTTTGCAACAGAAGAAAATAAAGCAAACCCGATTTCTCAAATTAGCAATATTGTATCCTGTTTCTAAAAAATCGATGTCTTGATATTCTATTAATCATTATTCAACAAATGAGTAAATGGCACCTATTGTGCCCTCCTCATGCTCAGAAACTTGAGTATCATGGTTACTGTATGATGTTAGTGATTCCCAAAAAAAACTAACCTCAGATAATTCCAAAGAATCCATTTGGTATCCCAAGAATTTTTAAGAATTTAAAAAGAAATAAGGAAAATTCTCAGGGACCACTCACACCCTGGTCAGCACTTCTTTACCCTCCTACCATCCGGAAGGAGATATAGAACATAGCCAGCCGCACAAACAGGCTGAAGAACAGATTTTATCCATGGGCTGTCAGATTCCTGAATGCGAAATAACATAACTACGTAGTACAATGGACTTGCAGGGCCGGCGCAATGTGTAACATGTTCACACTGGTGCAATAGGACCTGTTTGTTAATATGATTTATTGGGTTAGGGATTTTCTGTTTCCACTGAGTTGTATTGTGTTGGGAGGGTGCACTGAGGGAGCTCTGCCAATCTCATTGTACACATGTTGTGCAGTGACAATAAAGGTTATTATTATTATAATTTTTGTATGATTATAGGTTTCAAATATTTTCTTCTTCTTTCTAGACCATTTTAGAACAAGATATTTTCCATTGCTCTTTGCTTGCATGTTGCTTTGAAATAGTGCTGTTTGCATATCGTTCACCAAGAACTTTTCCCTGGATCATTGATACTCTTAATGTCAAGCCATTCTATTTCTACAAGGTAAGCACAGGAAAAGCTTAAGGTATGCAAGAAAGTGGTTTTATTCAAGGTATTTTAAAAACTATTCTGAGGAAAGTAAATATTTTAAACAATTGTTTGCAGTGAAAAATCACAGAAATGTTTAAATTTGTAAAATGAAATGCACATGAATTATTTTGTGCTCCTACATTGGGGTAGATAAAATTTGTATTCGTATTATATATGTATTTGACTAAATTACTTTTTGCACTCAAGGTGATTGAAGTATTGATACGTTCGGAAGAAGGACTCTCAAGAGATATGGTAAAACACCTCAACAGCATTGAGGAACAGATACTTGAAAATCTAGCCTGGAGAGAAAACTCTGTACTTTGGGATGCCCTTCAAGCCTCAGAAGATGAGGTTCCTCGCTGTGAAGAAGTATGCTGTCCGGCAAACAATTCATATTTAACACAGAAAAATTATTCTGATACATATATCATTGAAATGCTGGAAATGCTCTCTGACTAAAACATGTTAAAGCTAAATTCCTTGCATTAAAAACATGAGTTATAACAATTGTAAAACAATATGATTTTTTACCTTTTGAAATTTCCTTCTCCAGGTAATATTTCCAAATAATTTTGAAACAGGAAATGGAGGGAAAGGATTAGGATATCTTCCCATGATGCCAGCATCTCCTATCATACACCCCAGAGTAAAAGAGGTTCGGACAAATCATGAGGGCAGTCATAGACGAGGTAAGTTGAATTATTTCATATCTAAAAGAACATCTACTTAGATACAGTGATAGAATTAAATCTAATTAAAATCCAGACAAAACACATTTTAGTGTTTTTCTTTCTGAAAAACATACAACTAAAGTTTTTTTTAGCTCAATTTCATTAGTGCTGGAATATTTCTACACTTAAATATTGGTTGTGGAAAACATCAGGAAAGCATATGAGCTTGGAAATAAAAAAACTAGACTGAAAAGAGAACTGGTTATTTTGTAACTAAGCTTGTTTGAATTGTCATTTCCATCCAGTTCTCCACTGTGACATAGGCTGTGACAAGGCTGTCCACCTGTGCACAAGCAAATACTTCAAATACTGTTGAAGATATTGAGGAAGTTAGCTGCAAGTATGGATGTGGGCCAATGCTGCTGATGCATCAATCATCTATTTCAGTGCAACAGTGACAGGGAAAACATTATACCTTTAGAAGTGACTTACTAGTTCTTTCTTCCTAGGGCTGAGAGAAGTGACTGACCTAAGGTTGTCCAGCTGGCTTGCGCCCAAAACAAGGCTGGAACCCACTTTCCTAGTTTCTAGTCTGATATTTTAACCACTATACCAAACTGTCTCTTAGTGACATCCCAAATATGCTAGGTATCCTTCTGCACATGAATCAATCCAGTATGGGCCTCCCTTACTCAGTCTTTGGAAGAAACTCAGATTTTTTTTAAAAGCATCAAATCTATACCATTTATTTATTTATTTATTTATTTATTTATTTATTTATTTATTCGATTTGTATACCGCCCTACTCCCGAAGGACTCAGGGCGGTGAACAGCCAAACAATAAAATAACATAGACATAAAAAATTTAAAAACCAGATAAAATCAAATTAAATTATTTTGGCCCAGACAGATTAAAACACCCCAATAATTTAAAAACAGATTAAAATTTACATATTTAAAAGGGAAGAGATTAGGCCAAGCCCGCCTGCTGGAATAAAAAGGTCTTCACAGCGCGGCGGAAGGTGCGCAGATCCGGGATCCTCCGTATCTCCAGGGGGAGCTCATTCCAGACGGTAGGTGCCCCCACAGAGAAGGCTCTCCCCCTAGGGGTCGCCAGCCGACATTGTTTGGCTGACGGCACCCGGAGGAGTCCCTCTCTATGAGAGCGTACTGGCCGGTGGGAGGCTATTGGTGGTAGTAGGCGGTCCCGTAAATAACCAGGTCCTAAGCCATGGAGCGCTTTAAAGGTGGTAACCAAAACCTTGAAGCGCACCCGGAAGACCACCGGGAGCCAGTGCAGCTCGCGCAGGAGAGGTGTCACATGGGAGCGCCACGTCGCTCCCATTACCACCCGCGCGGCCGCACTCTGCGCCAGTTGGAGCCTCCGGGTGCTCCTCAAGGGGAGCCCCATGTAGAGAGCATTACAATAGTCCAGGCGGGAGGTGACGAGGGCATGAGTGACCGTGCGTAACGAGTCCCGATCCAGAAAGGGACGCAACTGGCGAATCAGGCGAACCTGATGAAAAATCCTCCCGGTCACGGCCGTCAAGTGCTCTTCTAAAGACAGCCGTGAATCCAGGAGGACGCCCAAGTTGCGAGCCCTCTCCGTGGGGGCCAATGATTCGCCCCCAATAGTCAGTGATGGCGTCAACTGCCTATATCGGGACGTCGGAAACCACAGCCACTCGGTCTTGGATGGGTTGAGCCTGAGCCTGTTCCTCCCTGAGCCTGAAAGTATAATAAAATTATACTTTCACAGGCCCCAAGTACACACTCAAGATTAAAGGTGCCTTCACATGCTGTTCTTCTAATATGATTATAGGCCATGATTTGTTAGCAGTGCCCCTCTAGATGGGACAAACTTGTCTTAAAAGAATTAATGGCCACAATGTGACATCAGGACTTGAGCCAGGCTAAGATTCGATATTGGGATAAAACTCAAATATTAGAAATCAAATCTTTGGTCAAGACAGAAGTGCCTCTTCCGTGCCAAGGTGCTGAGATGACAAATGGTATTTGACGTGGGTACAGAATTGTAAAAGGGCAAACTGACCCTAAACAGATACGTTCTGTTGTTTAATGTTTATTGCATCCTAAATGTCATGCATATCCCTGGATAAGGGGTGCTGCTTCCTTATTGCCCTTGAGGCGTCTCCTAGCCTCTTATCTCCTTTTGTTATGTCTTGAGCGCCGGAGCAGAGAACCTGAGTATGTGAATAAGGATGAAGTAATACTGGAACATTTCAACTACTCAAGACATTCTATGGCAGACCTTAAAGATACTGTTTTGGAAAAAACGAGACTTTAATAAACACAATTGAAGAGATTGCTGGACTCCCATTATCAGAAATCAGAAAGTTTCAAGCAATCTCAGAAAGTCTCCACACACAATGGTTTTTAACATGTTACAACCGTTAATTGATAAGATACTTGTAATCTTCTCATCAATATAACCCCTGCAGCTCCCTCCCCCCATCCCATATTTAAATCCTAAATCAGTCTAATTACTCCATGATCTGATGAAATAAGCTGCATCTCATGAAAGCTTATCCTTTTCAATAAAATGTGTTTGAGAAAGTGCAACCAAATTGAAATGACAATAACTGGTACCAGGAAATGGATTCTAAAGCAATATGAAAGGAGGCTGAGTGATAGCCATGATTTTCACTGTCCTTTGGGGAGGGGAATTCTAAATGAGTGAATTGTCAAAGAACAGATCCTTCAGATAATGTTGTCTCTTCCCTCTTATTTTACACAAACTGAGTATACTACATTTTCTAGTAAATGCCTTGATTTGTAGAGAACTGAAAAATTCAGTTAGATATAAATGTGACTACTTATATAAACTCAAAAAATATTCCAGTGAAATATAGTGTAATTTATTGTAAAATGAAAACTAATTATTATAAGACTATAGAAGTATTATTTGGCCTTCAGTGTTCCACTTTTGAACATACTCTAGTTTGTTCCAAATGCAAACTATTTTTGTCCCTCTGATTTACTGCATTTTGAAGTAATGCTTTTCTCTTATTTTAGATTTGCAGCTATTGTCTCCAATCTCCATTCATGACCGTTACAATTCTCCTATGGCAGGGAGTGCTAAAAGAAGGCTTTTTGGAGATGAAAGCCCTCCCACAAAATCTGTAGAAAAAAAATATGCTGAAGCAATGAAGCTGACAACAGACAAGCATATGTCTGTTTCACCTGATGAAATTGCTCTAACTATGGCACAAACTGCAGTAACAAGACAAAAAGTAACAATCCCATTACAGGGTAGGTACAGTTTTTATTAGAATTTTTAATGGCAAAGGGTAATGGTAGTGAACATTTTTGGAGTGAAATAATTATCTTAAACACGGGTATGAAAAAAGAGCAAATTGTTGTTCAATTTAGTGTTACATTTTTTTACCAGCGGGGGGGGGGAAGCTACTTAATAGCATTTTGTGTGTTAATGTGTTAATTAAAGTGTTAATTAATGTAAATACAAAATGCAGTGTTTATTGAGGCAACAATGAGGAACTTCAGTAGGCCCATGAATCACCTATTCCTAAATTACATTAGTCTGTTGAAAAAAATAAGGTTGTATTAAGATGTAGAGTCTTCTGTATTGACTTAATATGCATTTTCAGAATGTTTATTCTAGCCTAAGAAAGGATATTATAAACAGATCAATAACTTTTGCATGTATCTTAGGTAATACAAATGAGACAGGAAGGATCACATTGATACCTATTGCAGTCAATCTATCTGAAGACTCTAAAGTGGACAGCTATGGACAAGTCCCACTCAGTGCTGATGCTTTAATGACTGTTTGTTCAAGTCAGCCTCCTCCAAATGAACCCTTTCATTCAGCAGGAAACAAGCCAAAGAAAACTGGATCTCTAGCACTTTTTTTCAGAAAGGTAGAATGTATTTGTAAATATGTTTTGTATTAAAATGATATTCCACCATGACCACTAGCAGAAATCTTTCGTAAAAATAATCTAAACATTAAAATCAGTAAAAGTTGTATACAAAGTAGAGTTACTAAAAACCACAACACATTTGAAAGCTAACATGAGATGAGGACTATTCTGCTTATAATAGATAATCTCTAGAAAATAAAAATGTTTGTGATAATCCATTTTTTTTATAATCACAATGAGATAAACTCAAATATGAATCCACAGTAGAACATATCTTGTCAAAAAGAACAAAGAATTGTAAAATAAAAAGACATTTGGAAAGGTACTTTTGTGCAGATCTTACATGTTGATGTTAGAAGCTTATAAACCAAAACAGAATTTAAGTGCCTGTCTGGATTCAAACTCTTTAAGAAAAAGAAAATACACGCAGCACCAATGTAGTATAACAATTTAAAGGTCAGAAATATGTGAGGCAGACCTTTCTGCAGAATTGTTATGGATGGAAACCTAAAATATTTTTGTATTTCGAGTATTATTTCCCTAGTTAAAATTCTCAAAGTGATGTTGAAAGTAGAATAAGAGAGATATCCAACTAGAATCCAAGATAATTCAAAAACTTTCATTTAGTTTTCATATAAATGATAGAGGTTAACTTTCTAATAACTCTGTAAAAACTGCTCATAGAATTGCTTGTGGAATCAATTTAGGATTATTTCTAAGTGGCACTCATCACTCGATCTGGAATAGATTACATTGACTACAGTGTGTTCAGATATAATATATACATAACTGAAAATTGCTGAGGCAGTCAAACATATATTAGGTCCATTGAACTTTAGAATAAGAAACTTCAAACAGAAAGGCATGAAGGAGAAACAGGATCAATATTTCAGAATATTTGAGACTTGTTTAAAGCAATAATCATAGCTCTTCATCTGCAAATGAATTGCAAGTCAGGAAACCTATAACAAAGTAACAGTTGGAAGGGCCATTGGAAATCTTGTAGTTCAAACCCCTTTTTAAGCAAAATCCTAGACCATTTTCAGACACATGGTTGTCCAATCTCTTCTTAAAAACCTCCAGTTTTGGCATACCCACAACTTTGGAGGCAAGTCTTTCCATTGATTAATTGTTCTAAATGAACAATATCACTGTTCAGTGATATTTAATATCACTGATAATGACATGATTAACAAACAAAAGCAAGAAAGCTATTAAAAATGACCTCAGAAAATAGAAGGCAAAAAAAGAATACAGGCTTGCATCCTCAAAGAGCAGAAACAATGAAAATGGTAAGGGAACAAAAAGCAAACACCTGCATCCACAGAGATCTCCTTGGCTAATACCTGTTTTGGCTTAATTGGTAAGAAATATGAAAGAAAAAAATTGATGATAAAACACATCATTTGATAAAGATAAGACCTAATAGTCATGCCATATTTCTCTGATATCTTTAGGAGTAGTCTGATAGTTGCTATTTATATAGAGTTTCTAAAAGCTTGACAGAATTCCTATTTAAAAGTTCCTGAGTTTTAGTTTTCAAGATAAAAAAAATGATTACTATTTCCACATTTGTGTGCCTTTATCTTATTCAATAAAAAGACATAGATAAAGGAGGCCCTTGTCCAGGTGCTTTGCCATGTTATGCATAGTCAACCAGCCATTTGAGTGTACCTAGCCAACATTACAAGAAAAGTACAAATATTTGCATAGTGATTAGTGGTTAGGGACAGTGGCTAAAGAAGAGGGGAAATGAGCTATTGAAAATTTTTCCTTATGATTTTTTTATGTTTTATTTTTTCAGTTTTGTTTCAGTATTTCATTCTACATTTTATATTCTATACTATCAATTTGAATAATGTCAAGCAACTATAATGTATATAATAAAATCTCAATGTTAAAAAGAGTCTTTGGATCCAGTCATTATTCAAAGCATGCCTGAAAATAATTAAATTACAAAGTAATTTTCAGCATTATGGTCATAAACTTGCAAAAAATTTAAATTAGCAGCATTATACCACTACCCATTTTCCAGAACGGATTCAAATTCCTGAAAACAAGCACCCAAAAAAAAAAACACACTAAACTTTAGTGTGGCTTTTCCTCTTAGGTCTACAATTTGGCAAGTGTTCGATTACGTGATCTATGCTCAAAGCTGGATGTTTCCAATGATTTACGAGGGAAGATATGGACTTGTTTTGAATTCACTTTAGTCCATTGTACAGATCTAATGAAAGATAGACACTTGGATCAGCTTCTTCTCTGTGCTTTTTATATCATGGCAAAGGTAAGAGATCCTTCAAAATGTAATTTTTTAATGTTCTGGAATGAACTTCGTAATACCTTATTTTAATAAATTGCTTAAAGAACAAATATTCTTAAAATGTTTTTCATATTCCTAGGTTCATTGTTTCCAGGTACTCTAAATAAATGTTTTCTTTTGGCCAGCTAAGCAGGATATTGCTGCAAGAGGTAATAGGTTATTTTCCATTATTACCACAGCACAAATGATTATATGCAAAAAAGAGATATTATGCTTTGAAAATAAATTGGAAAAGATACTTCAAAGTAGGAGCACAAATGTAGCTCCTGTGTGCAACTCTTTAAAGCAATAATATCTTCTGATATCTAGCAACTGTAGTACGTAGTATGATCCCTAAAGAAGACACTGCTGCTTTAGAGCTATATTTGGGTTCTTCCAAGCTCTGAAATATTTTTCATTTTTTCTGAAGTACTGCATAGCATCATTATAGACAAGTTTGATTAGATGCCCTTGCATTTTATACATAGTCCCTTTCTAGAACATACTTTTCTTTGCAAGTACATGTTAAATAAAATTACTACTACTGCTACTAGTAGCTTATCAGATTTTTGTTATACAGCAGTTCCTAACAATTATTTCAGTATTTGTGATTGCTTATTTGAGCTTTTTAAATTCGAAATTATGTGATTGGTGGAAAATGAATATGAAGATCAGGTAGTAGATTACGGGAAGAAAAATCATTTTCTCTAATTTGTTAGCACTGAGAAACTAAGCTAGCAGTTGCTAAGCAAACATGAAGTGGAATTAGTTTAAATGCTTCAATTTCATTAGGTGTGGATCTCTATGATATTTGAGATCAAAATTTTTAGCAAGATTCAGAAAAAATAGAGAATGAGTTTTTTTCCTAGTTGTGATTATATCCAATGACTCTTCTTTGAAAATGCTGTAGAAAGCTATTTTAGGTTTATGTATAGAAGCCTTTTCTTTTTAATCAGTTACAACTGCTTCTTGCTCAGGTGTCTAAGGAAGAAAGAACTTTTCAGGACATAATGAAAAGTTATAGAAATCAGCCACAAGCTAACAGTTATGTAAGTATATTTCAGCACATTTATAAATATTTTGCTTTTGCTATTTAAATTCTGTTTGCAGTTTTAAGAATAGTTCCAATCATGCTCCCTCAAATTACAAAATCTTGCTGTTTTTTGTTCTCTAGGTATATAGAAGTGTCTTACTGAAAAAAGTACAAGCTGATGTAATAGATGTAAAACATGAAAGCATGTCAAATGAAGGTAACAGGGTCATAATTATACTATACTATTTTAAGATAACATGTATACTTGACAATAGGATTCTCTTGAATAGGTAACATTTAGAATACATTGCCTTATTATTCAAAATTAGATGGAAACCATTTTATTTTTAAATATGTCTATAGGTTTGAAAATACTGTTTCACTTAAATTCTTTCCCTATAATCGTAAAGTAAAACATTCTAGCATATTTAAAGGCCGACTTATATAAAGATGAGAATAGGAACAACTGTAGTGATGTTGATGTTATAATACAAATAAGAAAATGTAGTTAACAATTTAACCTGTGGGCTTAACAAATATTATCAATATATTTGCATTGTGACCTCCATTTTCTGATCAAGTAAAGCATTTTAGTTCATGATAAACACAGCAACTTGGATTTTATAGAAAACAGTCCCAGAAATAGAATCTATTCTAAGAAACATGTGGTTTCAAAATATGTTACTACCGTGTTTCCCTGAAAATAAGACAGGGTCTTATTTTCTTTTGACTCCTGAAATATGGCCTTGGCCTTATTATCAGGGGTCTTATTATTTTTGAGGTGCAGGACCTCAAACCCTCGGCTCCCGGCAGGGGGACTGGTGCCGGAGCACCGACCAGCTGCTCTGCCTCGATCACCTTCTTCTTGAAGAGCCTGCAGGGCAAACAGGAGATCTGGGGTTTGGGCAAGCGGCAGAATTCTCGCTTCTCCGCCGTCCCACCTCTCCCCACCTGCCATTCCCCTTGCCAGCCGAGACCGGCAAACCAGATTCGGGGAGCTGAATGCACTGTTGCCACCCGGAAAGAGAAGAATGTGAGAAATGGGTGCTCTCACAGCACCTCCTCTCTCTTCTTCTCCCAAGTGGCAGTGGTGTGTCTGGCTCACCGCATCTGGCCTGCTGATTTCGGGCAGCAGCGGCTCTGATCTTCCCCCTTCCTTCCCCACCTCTCCAGTCTCGCCTCCTCATGTCGTGTTGTTTGCGCGGCAGCTGCGCATGTGTCGGGGGGGTATTTTCAGGGGGGCTTATTTTAGCACATGCACTCAAAGCCCAATTGGGCTTATTATGGGGCTCCCCTTGGGGTGCACCCAGAGGCTCCAGTTGGTCCAGAATGCGGCCGCGCAGGGGATTATGGGAGCGACGGGGCGCTCCCATGTGACACCTCTCCTGCGCGAGCTGCACTGGCTTCCTGTGGTCTTCAGGGTGCGCTTCAAGGTGTTAGTGACCACCTTTAAAGCGCTCCATGGCTTAGGGCCGGGGTATTTACGAGACCGCCTTCTGCCAATAGCCTCCCGCCGACCAGTACGCTCCCACAGAGAGGGACTCCTCAGGGTGCCGTCGGCCAGACAATGTCGGCTGGCGACCCCCAGAGGGAGAGCCTTCTCTGTGGCGGCAACTGCCCTCTGGAACGACCTACCCCCGGAGATACGCACGATACCAGACCTCCGGACTTTTCGTCGGGCCCTGAAAACACATCTTTTTCACCTAGCCGAGCTGGCTTGATCCCATCCCTTCGATTTTAATTTGTAATTGGTTTTAACCCGGGTTGTTTTAAATGGATAGCCAAAATTATTTAATGTTTTTTAAATTGTTTTTAAATTTTATATGTTATGTTTTACCTTGGCTGTTCACCGCCCTGAGTCCTGTTGGAGAAGGGCGGTATACAAATTAAATAAAATAAAATAAATATTATCTGGACATGTCCTATTTTTGGGGAAACACAGTATTTCTTCAATATTTTTCCCAACATAAGTGTACTTACTCAGAAGGATGTCCATGTTCAATAGGGCTTACTCTCAGTATAAATTAATTCCAGACATGACATTTAGCCATGATTTCTTGCTGAGTTTTTTTTTTCATATAGCGTATATACAGAAATGTGTTGTGCTAGTTTTGTTGCTAACAAAACTTAATGATACTGACAGTGGTAGGTAGGGGACCTGGTCCGATATAACCTGGCGATCTGGTTATATCATGTATATGCACTGGGTCAACTCATTTATTGCAATACCATTTAGACTACAAGCCTATGTATATGTATATAGGACTAGCTTACATTCCTCTCATGACTTGATTCCAAATAAAGCATCTACTGGTGTTGTTTGCTTTTATTAATTCTGCGGATTGGGAAGGTGGTGGAAAAAAGGAGGGAGGAAAAATAGCCTTTGTGGTAAAGACAACATATTTTCTGCTTTCCTTTTTAAATTTAGAAACTTATTATATTTATCTTGCCTTCTGCCTTCCTTTCAAAGGTGTCTGCGGGAAGATGAACAATTATAGAGATTTGGAAAAAGAAGAGAGAGGCGATCTTATAATGTTTTACAACACTATTTATGTAAAAAAAGTGATAAATTTTGTATTGAAATATGTTTCCAACCATGATTATATGGTATGTGAATCTCAAATTCTCCCCATCCTTTTCATTTCTTTCATTTTTGCATGTTTGAATAGTGTGACAAATTTATTTAATAGAAATGATAAATTAATACCAGGTTGCATTTGATGTGAGCCAAAATTCAGTTAGTGCAAAGTTAATGCACACACAGTTGAGGCTAGCACCGTGATGGCGAACCTATGGCACGTGTGCCACAGGTGGCACGCGGAGCCATATTGATGGGCACGCGAGTGTTGCCCTAGCTCAGCTCCAGCACGCATGTGCACACTGGCCAGCTGATTTTCGGGCCTTCTGGGCCCACCGGAAGTTGGCAAATGGGCTGTTTCTGGCCTCTGGAGGGCCTCTGGGGATGTGTGGGGAAGGCTGTTTTCATCCTCCCCCGGCTCCTAGAAAGCCTCTGGCGCCTGGGAGGGCGAAAAACGGGCCTACCGGGCCCATTGTGCCATCACATGCCAAAAATGGGGGGACCATGGGGAGAATCACACGTGCTTGTGCAGGGGGGGCCCAGGGTGCATAGAATTATGCGTGCGGGCACGCACATGCGCTACCACCCCGCACTCCCCCCGCTTTTGACACGCGATGGCAAAAAGGTTAGCCATCACTGGGCTAGCACATGTGAAGTTAAAGCTAGTGCATGCATGGTTACTGTTGAGGTTTTAGACTTTAATGACTAAAAGAAAAGTTCTGTTCAAGAGAAGCTTTAAAAAGAAGCTCATTTTGAACACCTACACCAAAATACAAGAGATAGGTATGCTGTGGGTATGGATTTATCTTTTAATCATGTATAGTAATCATTGAAAAGCATATTACATTTATATTTTAAAATGTTAATTGCCTAATTCCATTAAGCTGGAACCAATTATCCTATTTCCCATAGAAATATCACTTCAACAAATGTTAATTTGAATAATACAATTTTGTAGGATTCATTAACTGCACATTGACCTATTTATATTTCTGAGTTGTTAAACTTATTATTTATCACATAGTTTGTATGAATTTAGAACTTAAAGCAAATTAAAAATGTTCAAAGATAATATATAACGATGGGTTAACTAAAATTTTCTAAAAATTAATCACATTTAATTAATTAAATTTCTATACATTTTTCATTCAGGAGCAGATGGCAGTATATATAGTGCTCCCTTCTAACCCTTGTTAGTATGGTTAGGCTGAAGAAAAGTGATTGACCCAGTGAGCTTCAGAGACAAATGATGCCCAGAGTTTAGGTCCCCCTATTCCTAGCTTAACAACTTAGTTACTACATTATCTTTCTAATCCTTTAAAAATCTTTTTTGTAACCAAGGGAGATCTGTCTTGTAAGGTACTTCAAAACATAAAGTTTCTATCTACTATTATTTGAATAATTGCAAATTGTCTTCATTTATTATAGAGGCTAATCTCCAATAATTTTTGAAGTATTTTTTGAAAAATCATTCAGTCATCTTTATCTTTTCCTAATGTTCAAAGATCCATGATTTTTTTATTTTAATTACTGTAGCATAATGTATTTTTAATCATTGTGGAAGAGTAACCGGGAATGGAGAAAATAGGATTGAAATTCTTCTTCAGCTATGGAGCCCAGAGTGACTTTGGACCAGTCACTGCTACCAATCTATTTCCTGGGGTTGTTACAAGTATTAAATTCAGAGGGGGAATAGGACATGCTTTGATCTCTTGAAAGAAAGGCAAGATATAAATGCAACTCATAAGTTAAAAATAACTTACCTGTATTTCATAAATAATTTTCTTTTCACATACCATATTCTAAATGTTTATATTTTAATGGGAAGTTAAAATAGTTGAAAAGCATACTGTGAGTTAAAATTTCAGTAACAAAAATGAGTTCAGTTGATGATGATGATTTTGGTTTAGTTTTTGCTAACTAATGGCTACAGCTTCTAGAAATCTTAAGTGAAGAAAAAAGAGTTATCAGCTAATTGGGGTATAAAATAACTTGAGCAGAGAAATGACTGTCATTTTTAAAGCTTCAGTTAGATGAGAGGTTAACTGAGAAAACACATGTATCCAAAATACAAAAAATATCACCATAACTGTATTTCAGAAGCAAACAAAAAACCCCATTGTGTAAGCCTTTGTATTCATTTTACATATCTAAACCAGTTTGTTAAAGACAACTTTATTATACACAGCTAGTACTATGGGAAAATAAATCCTGAAATATCAATGTCTTGCCTGGATGCCAGAAGGAATAAAAACAATAATTTTAAAAGAGCAGCCCTCAGATGCAAAAGAGTGCCAACTTCTGAGTAAATGCATATTAATTCAAGTTATAATAAAAAAGTATCTAAATGTAATCTTTTTTCTCCTCAGGTGGAAGCACCTCCGCTTTCCCCCTTCCCCAGCATTAAACAACTACCAGTATCTCCTCGGCGAATTTCTCAGCAACATTCTCTTTATGTTTCACCACACAAGAATGGTTCTTGCCTAACACCTAAGAGTGCACTATTATATAAATTTAACGGGAGCCCCTCTAAGGTAAGATATATTTTTCTAACAATTAAGAGTTAAAAACATCATTTTTAAATGTTGACTTCAGTATAGTCTTTCTGACCTTTTTTAAAGGATCCAGATAGAAATATGATAATTAAATATTAGACAGAAAAATTGAAAGTGACTTAACTGCCACCTCACTCTCAGCTTGTACTTCAATACCATGAGATACCATGAGGTGACAGTCTGCTAAGAACTATGGGGAAGGTGGATGGGAGGGGAGTCTTGCTTGGGGGGAAAGCAAAAGTGACTGCTGCTTGGGAAAGCAAGAGGAACTGCTGTATCCCCCCACCTCCTGTATCTCTCTGGAAGCAGTAGTGGGTTACTCCCAGTTCTTGTGAACTGGTAGTAAAAGCAGCGGGAGGCTCTGCCTACCCACCCGAACATCATAATGGACGATCTGCGCAGAAGCGCGAGCGATGCGAGCATGCACGCTCCCGTTGTGAACCAGTAGTAAAGTAGAACCCACCCCTGCCTGGAAGGCTGTTTCAAGGTCACCCAGCTGGGAGAAGAAAGCAGCTGCATACCAACCTATGTTTGAAGTGACCATTCTCAAAACATCTTGCTTGAACTATTTGGGATGTGTGTGTGGCGTTGGGGAGGCAGCAAAGAGAGGGAAAAGTTGAATTTATGAATTTTTGCATGCAATTGCAATGCACTGGCTTTTAATAAAACTATACCTTTCTCAACAAATGGAGCCAAGGATCGTTTCTATTTAGAGATTTAAGTTGCAGCAGATCTGACAGTGATAAAAATTAGACTATTATATGAAAATATTAATTGCAGTATACAAATTTACTTTGAAAAATCAAAACCTAATAAAACATATTAAGCTCTCTTAACTGTGAAATTTAGTATTATTTTTATTGTTTTCAATTTGACAGAGTTTGAAGGAAATTAACAATATGATTAAACAAGAAGGACAGAGGCCAAAGAAGAGAGCAATATCAATTGATAGTGACACAGAATCACCAGCTAAGAGACTTTGTCAGGAGAATGATGATGTTTTACTTAAACGTCTTCAAGATGTTGTCAGTGAAAGAGCAAACCATTAAATCAGCAAAGATGCTGTGAGCACCAAAGCTTTCTTGTGACTCAATTATCTGTCCTTCCTAAAGTTTTTATGTTTTGTAGGTAGACGGTTATCAATCATTGTATTAGAATTTTAAGATGCTCCATTATCAAAAGAAAATTTATGGCAGTTATGAATTTTGATTTTTATACTCTGAATTTATATCATTATTTTGAAGGTTTTATCAGCTATATTAAATAATACATTTTAAGGTTATTAAAAGGTTATTGGAATAATATGTGAAAGTAGGAGCTTGTGAGAAAATCTTGATTTAAGATGGCTTTCTCAACATTTACAATGTCTATTATTTACTGTCATAGTAATTTGGGTTTATCGTTGACTTGAAAACATTTTTGGTATTGTTTAAAAGAATATTAGGATCTGTGCATTATTTTAATATAAGATAAGATAAGATACAGTTAATCATTGATACAGTAAGATAAGGTGTTGTCGTTTAGAACGGAGATATTTCCCGTTTGAAAGGTTGGAAAAATGCTTTGAATAAGCTATTCTGTAAAGCAGGGGTCCCCACCCCTGGGCCGTGGCCTGTTCGGAACTGGGCCGTGCAAGCAGCGGGGAGCATGTGAGCACATGCAGCTCCATTTGTGCGAGTGACAGGTTTATGTGCCACCGCTTGTGCAAATGGAGCTGCACACACACACACTGCTTGTGTGAAAGCATCCCCTCTCCCCTCCTGTTATTGCCGGCGGTCTGCAGAGCCAGAAAGATTGGGGACCGCTGCTGTAAAGCACTGAACTCTTAGCTCAATCTGAAAAGCTTATTTTCCTTTGTGTAGTATCTACACAAAATATAAGCCTTATCAAATTAAGTGTATACATAAAATAAGTATGAAATATTATAAGGTTTTAACTGTAGTATTCTATTTGGCTACTTTTTAAAAAAAATGCTGATTTTTTTTATAGAGGGAAATTCATTAGAAATATTTTATGAAAATATAGAAAGAGAAGTTCCATCATAGAGGATCATTCTAACTATTTAAGAACCATAAAATATTTTGTATTTCTGATTCATATATAGAAAGGTTTAACTTTTGTTAAGATTGCTTTTATAACAGTTTAATCAATTCTAAAAAGGATTTTTATATTTAGTTAGTATTCCATAGTATAATGGATTGAGAGCTATCATTTAATAAACCACCATAGAGCCAAATAATATGCTGAAAAATGTTTTACAATAGACTTAAATATATTTATAAAAGGTGTTTTTTTTTTCTTTGGGGAGAAAACTGTTTTACCTTTTGAAATATTGGCTTGTTATCACAGAGTGTGACATAAAATTATAGTCAGAGTATAGTTTCAATTATATGCAATTGGTTTTTACCTTTCTTTTCTAGTCAATCCGTCTTAATGTTTACTTTTCTCTCAATGATATAAATACATTCAAGGCAGGGAAGGGGACTACCTTAGGATCTTCAGAGAAAAAAGTGTCCTCCCAGGCCTTCAGTTTTTTAAAAAAACAAACAAACAAGAAAGCTGAACAATGATTGCTGCTGAGATTTGATGCATGCAATAGACCAAACATAGCAGCTGCCTCCACTAACTCTTGAGACTCCTAAGTGGCAGCACAGAGATAACAGAAATCCCTAACTTATGAGTACCATTTAGTGGCTGTCTGATTTTTATAGTTTCTGCTCCTAATAAGAGTAGTCCAGTCTACCACTGATACAAAACTCCAGACATCAGAATAGGTCTACCCCAGGGGTGAAATCTACTTATCTTCCTTACAGGTTTGGAAGTGCGTGTGTGTGCGTCATTTGCAATTTTGGATCCTCTGCGCATGTGCACACCTGCGCATGCGCAGAGGGTCAAAAACAGGTTACTTCCTGGTTAAAAACAGGAAGTAATGACATCCAAGTGGGTGGGCGGAGCTTTGTGCTGCCACTGCTACCAGTTCACCGAATCACATGCTGCCACTGCTACTGGTTTATCTGCACCGGTGCGAACTGGTAGCATTTCACCCCTGGTCTACTCATTTCAAATGTAGCAGTGTTGATGACTAATGTTTGGATGGAGGCCCCAACCTCCCAAAGGTTTGCCTTACTACCCATGAACTTGCCTTACTACCCATGATCCTTGTTTTCTTTATTTATCTTTCCAATAGACATATTCTCAGGTCTGACATTAAAAGTTTGATGCTGAAATTTGGCTTAATTATGCATTGATAATTTATATTGAGGTTTATATTAATTATAATTTTTGTATTCATTACAAGTTGACTATGATATATGACTGATGTTCCAGATTAAAAAGTGGTTTTATTTTCTAGAACTTAACTCTTTGGATCTATCCTTGTAAATAGAACTTCTTAATTAAAAAAAACTTCATTCTGATCTGATTTGAACTGTTTTGTTATTTTGAACCATATGGAAATTATGTACTTGAATTACAGTGCCTCAATGAATGTTTACTAAAAATGAGGAAAATAGCGCTCAAGGCAAGTATTTATGATAGTCCCTAACCTCTGTAACAGTACTGATCTCTTTTATCAAAAATCCAAGTTACACTAGAAATGAATGCTCATCCAGACCATTTCAACTACCAAGGAAATCACTAAAAGAGGAAATAACTGGGGGAGTGTGGATAATGACCCTTTCTTTCCTGTACGTTGTTGTATTTTATTTTATTTTTTAACTTTTGGGCATTATTTGGATTCCTCCCCCAATCCCCCCTCACCTGGCTATGTTTGCTATAAATAAGCCTTACAGTTTCTTATGATTTTGAATACAAATATAAATCCTAAAATAGGCTTACCACAAACAAGGTCTGCCTCTGTCTTCTCTCACATGTAGCCATATGCCCACATCTTTGTCCCATGTGCTTGATACAGCATCACCTGATATGACGGAATGTAGTCTGGATTGTCAGTTGGGAATCCAAGCTGCATTCCCTTGCACCTATTTATGCATCGTTACACCGACTTCCAAATGGGGTTCACAGCACACCCTTTCTGTCAGGGCAACCATCCCAGAAGAGGGATGCTGTAGACCCCATTGGCCAAGGAATTTCAGCTGATGGGGGTCCAGGAGAAGAGCCTTTTCTGCTGCAGCACCCCCCCTCCCCCCAGGAACATCATATCCCTCATGTGAATCAGACACACACTCACACACACATCCGTAAGGGCCTCAAAACCTTATTCTGCTGATTGTCCTGGGACCCAAATGGGGGTGTCCCTTTCTAGAGTTGATTACTGGATTAGAATATCCCACCTCCACTCTACTCCTTGCTATTTTAGCTATTTCTTTATTTTTTAATGTATTTATTGTCTTACTGTTTTAACCTTTTTATAATATTGTTTTATCATTTTGTAAGTCACTCAAAAGTCGTGTGACAGTGAGATGGCTGGTAAATAATGTAATAAATTGTACAGAAAGGTATTGCTTGCAGTCAACCTCTATAGCTATGCTTCTATGGATAGAGGTGTACATTTCCACTTCTTTGGTTCATGTTTATCAGATAATCTTAAAACTTATTAAACATCTGTGTGTAGATTGTCACTAGATACTATTATATTCTATGTAGTATTATAATGCTTTAGTTGCCCTTTAATACTCGAAAGCCAGAACATAGTCCTTTGTTTTCTTTGTAGACCTTCAATATTTGAATAAAATCTCTATTTCAGTTAACTAAAAGATATGTTTGAAATGTTTTATGATCTCTTTTGGATTGGATTGGATTCCCTTTCCTCCAGTTTTTGCCTTATCTCCAGAATTTTCATTACCATTCAAACAACTAAAACAAGGCCTCCAGAGTGTAAGTTCTCCATACGAGTGTTCCCATATGATATGTATAATGTATGTATGTATGTGTACACACACAGGAAAATTTGCAGTACATATAAGAACCTTCACTGCATCATGATTGTCATCTATCAAGTTATTTGTGCTTTTGAGTTTATTGTTATTAACTTTTAAACAGCTCAGTTCTGTTCTTGATGCACATGAACATATCAGAATTCAAGGAATATCAAGATTGACAAGTAGTCCTATATAACTGGTAATGAATATACTTAATTTAAAATTTCCAAGTATAATTAAATATTAATATAGATCTTTAAAACAAATCATATTCTACATCCAAATTCATTTTTATCTATACAAAATTTGGTTCTCAAAAAGATTAATAGTTGCTGGTCCACACTACAGAACAGTAATTTCTTATTTTATTCAGTGCTTGTATGTATCAGGCTATATACCGTATTCAGTTATTTTTTTACTTCATGCCTCTTATTAGTTGCTCTGCTTTCCATCTTCTCTTACACTCTTCCATTTACAATGGTTAGGAATATATGTAGTTCAGAGTTGTTGAATTGGATTCTTAATACTCTGAGCCTTATTTTCTTTTTCACTATCTTCCATTTCCATTTGTTTCACATTAGCCAGAGTTTTTCTCCATTCCAAACAGCTCAATTTCCCACCCTAAATTTCAAAATACAGACAGTGGACATGAATAATAGATGACAACAATGGTGATAGAGACTTTGGTAAAACCAGCAAACTGGTTTGCCCAATTTGCAATGCCAATGAAAACAAGCTTGGAGCTGGAGATTACAAAATATTTTATTCTGTGGAGAAAAAGGATTTAGGGATCACTCCCGGTTTATCCATGTTATCGGAGTTCAGCCAATATTGTTTAGTAATATCAGCACTATGTAGCAGCAATCAGCACATTTGTCCCTAATTTCCAGTAAGAATTAGTACATTATACTTTAATTAGTACATTGTCCCTAAATTCCTCCTTTCCCAAGCTGTTGCCTTGCCCAATGATATGTCTGGGGTTTCACTTGAGCAAGCATTCTTGACCCTTTCACACTAGCAAGTTACTAAGTATCAAGATAAAGGTTCCCCTCGCACATATGTGCTAGTTGTTCCTGACTCTAGGGGGCGGTACTCATTCCTGACTCTAGGGGCGGTGCTCTGTTTCAAAGCCGAAGAGCCAGCACTGTCTGAAGACATCTCCGTGGTCATGTGGCCAGCATGACTAAATGCCAAAGGCGTACAGAACACTGTTACCTTCCCACCAAAGAGGGTCCCTATTTTTTTTATTTGCATTTTTTACGTGCTTTCAAACTGCTAGGTTGGGCAGAAGCTGGGACAAGTAATGGGAGCTCACCCCATTACGTGGCACTAGGGATTCGAACTGCTGAACTGCCGACCTTTCGATCGACAAGCTCAGCGTCTTAGCCACTCAGTCACCACATCCTCCCCCCTTTTTTTACAAGGCTTACACACTTCTAAATTTTAGCTTTCTAATATAAAGATGTGAGGGGAGGAAGATTTTAGCCTTTCCATCACTTTGAGAAACAAGTACAGACATAATAAAACCAAGAATTTCAAGCAACAATTGATCATGGAGTAGTTTGGCCACAAAATGTTTGCCCTTTAAAACAGCAAATTCCATGTGATCTAAAACTACAGTACCAATCTGTCTTTAATTTGTTTTTGTTTTCTTCCTGTCTCTTGCTTTACTTATCTTTTTCCTTAGGAAGGATTTTTAAGAACTCAGTATTTGCACATGTATTTTGCAGTTTATTTTGTAATATTCCAGATATTACTCAAGGAAGGAAGGATTTTTTTTGAAAATGCTGTAAAATGTCCTGAAATCGAGCTCTGTGTTTGGTAAAATCATTCAGTTTTTATGGCAATCTGCAGAAGTAGTTTATTTCAAGAAGGTTTTTAAAATTATTTTCTAATCCATCCTTCAGCTCTTGGCATTTTTCCATCCAAGAAGTAAGCAGGCCCAAGCATAGTTAGTTTCAGAGATAAAGCAAGTTAACTACCTGCCAAGACATGGGGATGAGGAAGTGAATAATATAAAAAGAAAAAGGGAAATATTTTGATTTGGGATATAAGATTTTCTTTATGACTTTAATTGTACTAAATTGGAAGGGTGTGTGTGCCTGTACGTTGGAGAATTATAATTTATAAGCTTGCAAGAAAGCAGCTCCAGTAAAAATGGTAATTCAGTTCATATTGTAGGAAGTTAGCACCCACCCCTTTCCTAGAAGAATGAACTGTTTTAGGAAATATTAAAAAGGCAGAATGTATTTTCCTGGATAAGAAATGGAGAAACATGTTTTAAAGACAAAGCAGCCCCCACCTTCCTGCCTTCCCCCCTTTGTCAATGGGCCAGAGGCAGAAACCCAATCCTCCCCCACCTTTGTCAATGGACCATCAACTGCAACACAATAGGACCCATCTAGCAACAGAAACTCACCACATGGCATCTGGGAAGATTACTTCAGCCAGCAAGGCTAGCTAAGACCCCCACCCCCTAGGAGTCTGACAATCAATCAGGATACTCTTCCTATGCCCCAAGAAGTTCAAAGCTCAGAGGGCATAAAACCAAGGCACGCTCAGCATCTTGCCCCTTTTCTGTTCAGGAACTCGAACCATGTGATCCTGTCCACCATTAAGCTATCTTTCCGAGCAGTCTCCATGTTTTCAGTGTCTTTTTCCCCACTTGGAACTGAACCCAGATGGATATTTCTTCCAACTGTAAGGTTCCAAAATACACTTGAGTCACCAGAATGCCAAAGAGAGAGACTCAAGATGAGGCTTGCAAAAAAAACAGATTTTATTTATGGCCAAAAACAAAATACCGGGTGGAACTATATCCAGAACATACAGATACAATGCATGCGAGGAGATAGCCACACCTTGGGGAAGGTATGGCGTCCTTTTATACCCTCAGAGACGTCAGCTTAGTACCCAACTCTGGCCTCCCAATCCAGGCCCGTGGATTCCTTGTTGCCCTGCAAGGGGGAATAGAAACTTCCCAATTAGTCATCTTGAGCATTTCTTTGTTTACTCAATTGGCCACTTAGGCCCCCTGGCCCTGGAAAGTAGCAGTCTATCCAGATCAACATAAATTAAGACTGAGATAGTACCATGCTCTTAGATGGCACAAGAAAAAAACAGGGAGAAGATTAATATGGGTTCAGGTCAAATGGCAGGGACATATGTTTGACAAATACCAGATACATTACAGGCCTAATAACAGAATATGTTTGTTACAGGGGATACAAATATAAAGGCATAATATATGTGATACAAATACAAAGGCATATGTGTATTACAAGAACCTAATGGTTACAGAATCTAGTATACCAGTATATCATATCCTAGCATTATTTATTATATCCTTATTATTGTTTCCCTTCACAACAATGTCCTGCCTATGTTCCTTTTCTCTTAATATTTGGACAAAATGGATCATCTAAGGATGAGACAAATCGTGGGAAAAGAAAAGTGCATTCCCTGCAGTTTTATTTGACATTACTTTGGAAAGGCTCACGTTTGAGAATAATAGCCAGTTTGGTGTAATTGTTACCAGATCAAACTAGAAACCAGGTGACTAATCCTGCCAAAGCCAGCTGGGTGACTTTGGACTAGTCACTCTCTCTTCTCAGCTCTAGGAGGCGGGCAATGGCAAACCACTTTTTAAATCTTGGCAAGAAAATATTGCATGGTCACCAGGCATCAACACTAACTCCAAGGCACACACTCATGTCTGAAGAGGGGAGGTGGCCAAGACATTTTTTTGCATGGAGAGAAACGCAGAGAATGGAAGCTACCAGATCCATTCTGGAGAGTTAGTGTAGGAAGTTAGCATCCACCCCTCTCCTGGAAGAGTGAAATATTTTAGGAAATATGAAAAAGGCAGAATATTATATTTCCCTGGGAGAAGCAGCTCCCACCTTCCTGCCCCCCACCCTTTGTTAATGGGACAGAGGCAGAAACCCAATCCTTTGTCAAAGGACATTTGCAACACAATAGCAACAGAAATTAACACAATGGGCCCCATCTAGCAACCGAAACTCACCACACATGACCTGGGAAGCATGTAACCTGGGAAGCACATGTGACCATCAGCCAGCAAGGCTAGCTAAGACCCCCACCCCCTGGGAGTCTGACAACCAATCAGGATACTCTTTCGGGGCCCCAAGAAATGCAGAGCCAGAGAGAGCATAAAAACCCGAGGATTTACTGTATCTGCCCTTTTTCTGTTCAGGAACTCAAGCCATGTGATCCTGTCCACCATTAAACCATCTTTCCAAGCAGTCTCCATGTTTCCAGTGTCTGTTTCCCCACTTGGAGCAGAACCTAGAAGGAAGTTTCTTCCAACATTAGGAAGGGAGATTACAACATGGAACCACATAGCACGTGCTGTCGTTAGTTATTACATTTGTAACTACTTCAACGACTATCTTTTAAAAAAAGGATTATTGCCTTTTCATTTGAAAACACGGAACAGACGACAAGCAGGCCGATTTAAACCTCGGAGCCTGGGTAGAGATGCCCCCTTTGTCCCAACCACCCTGGATAGAAAGGCGAACATAGCCACCAGCTTGAGCCACTGCTCATTTCTCCGAAAAGGGGCGGGGAAGCCAAAAATATCAACGTGGGGGTGGATGGGTCCATTGGCGGGTCGAGGTTTCAAGGCTCTTCTTCCCACGCGTTTCCAGCTATTGTTCACGTGGCAGGTTGAGTCTGCAGCGCGGCTCAGGCGCGCAAAAGTCTCCCTTCGTGGTCGCCCCTCCCGACCCGGGGAAGCCAGCAACAGTCACGTGGCTCCCTCTCTCCGCCGACTCGCCGGTGGTAACGTGAGGCGGCAACGGGGCGGATCCGGATCCCGCGCAAGCGAAGGATAGCAGCTTGCTCGCCCTTCTCCTCATCAGTGCTGCAGCGCAATGTCGAACGCCCTTAAACGGGCCCGGCCCACCAGCTCCCCCGATGGCTTCCAGACGCCTCAAAAGCGCGGCGTTCCCGCTGCGGATTTGGCGGGTTCCGTTAGCCTCCATCCTCGGTCCTGGGATACGGAGCAGCTGTGCGCCTTCCTTCAGACTCAGGGCTTGGAAGCTGCGGAGCTGCAATGCTTTCGAGGTGCGCGGGAAAGCCGGCAAGTGGAACGGAGGGCCGGGCCGCGGGAAAGGCTTATTAAAGGAGCCGCCACCTAGTATTGTTGTGGGCGGTTGCCGGGCATTTGCAGAAAGAGACTAGAATCGAAAAGGGGTTCTTTTCCGAAGACTTTCGTTTGGGGCAGGGCGCTCCAAAAGTGATGGCCGTCATTGCCCGGGAACAAGGGGCAGGTTTATTTTCACGCTGGGTGGTCTAGAGAGAGGGCAATGGCGCTTTTTCTAGTGCAAAAAATAATAATCTCGGAATCAAAGGGTCCCCCCCCCCACCTGCTCCTAGCCACACTGGCCGCATCCTTTTCCTCCTGTGTTTGGCTTCATCAGCCGTGAATGGGACAGCTTGAATCACCATCCTATGTTGTTGTTAGTTGCGAACTCGTGTCTGACCCATCGCGATCCCATGGACAACGTTCCTCCAGCCAGGGGTCCCCAAACTTGGCAACTTTAAGACTTGTGGACTTCAACTCCCAGCCGGGGAATTCTGGGAGTTGAAATCCACAAGTCTTAAAGTCGCCAAGTTTGGAGATCCTTGCTCCAGGCCTTCCTGTCCTCTACCATCCTCTGGAGTCCATTTAAGCTCACGCCTACTGCTTTAGTGACTCCATCCAGCACCTCATTCTCTGTCGTCCCGTTCTTCTTTTGCCCTCAATCTTTCCCAGCATTAGGCTCTTCTCCAGTGAGTCCTTCCTTCTCATTAGGTGGCCAAAGTATTTGAGTTTCATCTTCAGGATCTGGCCTTCTAAAGAGCAGTCAGGGTTGATCGCTAGGACTGACAGGTTTGATCACCTTGCAATCCAAGGGACTCGCAGGAGTCTTCTCCAGCACCATAGTTCAAAGGCCTCAATTCTTTGGTGCTCAGCCTTTCTTATGGTCCAACTTTCACAGCCATACATTGCAACTGGGAAAACCATAGCTTTGACTATACACACTTTTGTTGGCAGGGTGATGTCTCTGCTTTTTAAAATGCTGTCTAGATTTGCCATAGCTTTCCTCCCCAGGAGCAAGCGTCTTTTAATTTCTTGGCTGCAGTCCCCATCTGCGGGATCTTGGAGCCCAGGAAAATAAAATCTGTCACTACTTCCATTTCTTCCCCATCTATTTGCCAGGAATTGAGAGGGCCAGATGCTATGATTTTAGTTTTCTTAATGTTGAGTTTCAAGCCAACTTTTGCATTCTCCTTCTTCACCCGGATCAAGAGGCTCTGTAGTTCCTCTTCGCTTTTTGCCATTAAAGTAATATGATTGCATATCTGAGGTTGTTGATATTTCTCCCAGCAATCTTAATTCCAACTTTTGATTCATCTAGCCCTGCCTTTCTCATGATGTGACCTGCATATAAGTTAAAGGGATAACTTTAATTTATATGCATAAGTATAAGTTGAGGGATGGGGTCTTCCCTGCCATACTCAAGGAGGCAGTGGTTCGTCCCCTCAAGAAGCCAGCCCTGGATCCGGCCTCCTTAAACAACTTTCATCCTGTCTCCATCCTTTGCTTTGTAGCGAAGGTTGTTGAGACCGTGGTGGCTTACCAACTCCCACAATTCCTGGAGGAAGCTGATTACCTAGACCCGTACCAATCGGGTTTCAGGCGTGGCCACAGCACGGAAACGGCATTGGTCGCCCTGGTGAATGATCTCTGGGTTACCCACCGAGCTCCGGACAGTTCCTGATCTCTGCACTTTCTGCGCTGGCCTGAAGACATGGTTGTTCCAGCAAACTCCCTGATCAACTATGAGATTTTAATTTTGGGGATTTTAATTTTCATATTGGTTTTAGGTGTTATTGTTGTTTTATTTGTGTGAGCCTCCCCGAGTCCTTCGGAGAAGGGCGGCATATAAATTTAAATAAATAAATAAATAATAAATAAATAAATAAATAATAAATAATAAATAAATAATAAATAAATAAATAAATAAATAAATAAATAAATAAATAAATAGATGATAGATAGATAGATAGATAGATAGATAGATAGATAGATAGATAGATAGATAGATAGATAGATAGGCAGGGCGACAGTATACAGCCTTGCCAGACTCCTTTCCCAATTTTGGACCAATCAGTGGTTCTGTGTCCAGTTCTCACTGTTGCTTCTTGACCCGCATATAGGTTTCTCAAGAGACAAGATGGTCTAGTACTCCCATCTCTTTAAGAACTTGCCATAATTTGTTATGATTGACACAATCAAAGGCTTTAGCATAGTCAATGAAGCAAAAGTAGATGTTTTTCTGGAACTCCCTAGCTTTCTCCATGATCCAGCGTATGTTGGCAATTTGATTTCTAGTTCTTCTGCCTCTTTATTTATTTATTTATTTATTTGTTTGTTTAAATTTCTATACCGCCCTTCTCCAATGTAGGACTCAGGGCGGTGAACAGCCAAAGTAAAAACAAGACATACATACAAAACATACAAAATCTAAAATCTGTTTAAAATAATTAAATAATTTTGGCCGTAATTAAAACATTCCAATTTAAAATCCGTTTAAAATTTGACTCAAGCTTCATTCAAGATTTGAAATCCTGCCTGTACTTCTGGTAGTTCTCGATCCACATACTGCTGGAGCCTAGCTTGTAGGATTTTAAGCATAACTTTACTAGCATGTGAAATGAGTGCAATGGTGCGATAGTTTGAACATTCTTTGGCATTGCCTTTCTTTGGAATTGGAATGTAAACTGACCTTTTCCAATCCTGTGGCCACTGTTGAATTTTCCAAATTTTCTTGCAAATTGAGTGTAGCACTTTTACTGCATCGTCATTTAAGATTTTGAATAGCTCAGCTGGAATACTGTCATCTCCACTAGCTTTATTGTTGAATGAGATAACTTGAATTACCACCCTTAGTTGGGATTAAAAAATGTAATAAAAAATAAAATAATGAGGCCTCTTGAGAGATGACTCACAGCTGGGTCCATGTGATAAGTAATGCCCTATCATGGAAACAGCTGGTGCTGCCGGCCTTGAAGGAAGCAGTGATATATATCATCTCAAGAGACCAGGAGAGGTCATCTGATATTGCAGTGTGTTACATGCAGATCTTGCAAGCCTCCCTTGCTTCCTAAGTGGGTTTTCCAGATAGATATAACTGCAATAGATAAAGCACATGTCCTTCTGCCAAGTCTGAATCCAAAGAAGACACTAGGGATAGGCTAGGATCTCTTTTTATTCCCCAAAGTTCTTGCTTTGTTGGGATTGTATCTTTTTTCATGGCTCAGGCCCAACTTCCTTTGACTGGTTCAAGTGACAGCTTTCCTTTGTTTTCTTAATGACTTTATTTCTTATCTACTTCCCTGAAGGAATCTTTTAGATAAGATTCCTGGCTTTTGTCTTCTCTGCTTTTGCACCTGTTTTATCTTTAGTTATGGCAGCTTCAGTCTAATGTCACAGGTGCAGTATCAGTATGCTGAGGATACCTAATTATACATCTCTGTTCCTTGCTGGCTAAGAGATACTGTCCTGCTTTTGGCCCAGTACCTGCCAGCTACTAGGGTTTGGATGGGAAAGAGCCAGTTTCAACTCAGCCCTAGCAAGTGGCTCTGGATTGTTGGGACTACTGAGTCCAGGCATATGTCATTTTGATTCTTGCCAAGCTGGAATGGAATTTAATTTAATTAATTCAATTTATATGCTGCCCCTCTCTGAAGACTCAGGGCAGCTCACAATACATTTTAAAAAATAATTATAAAAAAACATTTAAAAATTAAACATTAAACATTAAAAACTCATTCACGCCATTCATGGCCAGATCTCGCCGTAATGGAATGGAAGTGGAGTGGAGTGGAGTGGAGTGGAGTGGAGTGGAGTGGAGTGGAGTGGAGTAGAGTAGAAGAGTAGAGTAGGTAAGTAGAGTAGAGTAGAGTAAGTAGAGTAGAATAGAATAGAATAGAATAGATAGAATAGAATAGAATAGAATAGAATAGAATAGAATAGAATAGAATTCTTTATTAGCCAAGTGTGATTGGACATACAAGGAATTTGTCTTGGTGCATACGCTCTCAGTGTACATAAAAGAAAAGATACATTCATCAAGAATCATAAGGTACAACACTTAATAATAGTCATAGGGAACAAATAAGCAATCAAATCATATTAGGAAACAGTCAGTATAAATTGTAAGGATACCAGCAACAAGGTTACAGTCAGGGTGGATAAAAATCAATGATTTTTTTAAAAAAATCAAAAAAATCAGATTTTTTTGATTTAAATCGGATTTTTTTTTTTATTTTTATCGAATTTATTTTAAAAAACTTTTGGGGTAAAAATCTATCGTAAGATAGTTTTCTGTTTAAGATACATAATTTAGTTTATTCAGCATGAAATGGAGCTTAGTTATGTAGCATGGTGCTATATATTCTGCAACACTGGGACTCGGTGAGTCAACAGTGAGTCAAAGGAGTAGCAGAGATGACAGTTGCTCTTTAAAAATTATGATTTAAATCGAGTTGATTTATGGAGAGTAAAATGGTTTACAGTTGATAAGTAAAGACTCTTAAGTTTTCATCACAGAATTTATATATTATAATTATATCCACCAGAAACAGCTGACACACAATTTGGGGCTACTCATGGATTTGAAAATTCTGCTTGTGAGACAAGTGATAATCATGGCTATGGAGGCCTTTAGACAAATCCATCTCATGCACCAATTGCAGTCATTCCTGGACTGGGATACTTTGCTCACAGTCACTCAAATCCTGGTCATTTCCTAGATGAATTACTGCAGTGGCTCTACATGGGACTGCCTTTGAAGATCATCTAGAAACTACAACTGGTCCAGAATGTGGTAGTATTTGCAGTTCTAAATGCCTCACATTTTGCTCATGTTTCATCTCCATTGAGGTGATGAAATATGAGGTGCAATGGCTCCAGTTTCTTTGCCTGATGGTGATTGTCACCTTTAAAGCCCTAAATTTCATGGGCTTAGACTACTTATGGATCCCCTCTTTTGAGGGTATCTGCCCATATTTCTAGGTAAAATAGAGTGGGTA